ACGCCGGGGGTGGGGGGGGGGGGGGGGGGGGCTCCTGCCAGCAGGGAGCCTGCCCGGGGGCGGAGGGTGAGTGCACCATTCCCAGGCAGCTGCGTGGGAGCGTAACGCAATTACTGCATCTCTCTCTTCCCGCTGCCGGAGCTTCTCTGCTCCCCGGGGCCCCCCCTCGCCACTGCCTGCACTGCCAGGGGCCACCATGGCCCCCCCCACACTCCCCAGTGCTCCCAGTACAACCAATCTCAGTGGGCACAAGGGATGGGAGGTCCACCCGGAACCCCTCTGGAGCAGGATCCTTCCCCCAGGGCTGAAACCTCTCCTTGAATTTGGGGGCAGACGGGTCTCTTCACCCCCTGGTCCCCACCCTGGAAAGCACAGAGCATGAGGTGACACTTCCACAAGGCTCTGGGGACACACACATCCCTGTGTCACACACATCCCTGTGTCACACACACGTGCTCTCCCATCTCCAGCCCCCAAAATCGGCCAAAAGACCTACAGGGCATCGATTTCCAGCGGCAAAACCCCGGACTCTCCCGACTCCGGAGCCTCCAGATTTGGCTGTTTGTTTTATGAAAATGATGAGTCAGTTTTTAAACAGCAAAAGCCTGTGTTTATCCGTGTTTCTCTCTCAAAATGAACCAAAAAATCTGTTGCCATCGGCTCCTCTTCTCACGCCATATGTCGCCTGCGCCACGGCCGCCAGATTCGGAGGGAACCGTCAGCATCTTGTCTCGGAGCTTTAACGAGGCGCCTTTGGGGGCTTTCGCTCTCCAACCACTCCCAACCTTCAGCGGTTGAAAGAGAAGAAGGAAAAAAATCGTTCTAAAATGATGAATTTGGGGGCTATTTAAGATCGGGGTGGTTAAAAAGCAACACCGTCACCGGGCGAGTTTGCTTTAAAGCGGGAATTTAAAGTCGGGGAGAAACCCCTGTGTTTTCAGGCCAGTTACAATCTCTACCTTATCATTTCGCGAGCTTCCCCTTCTTCCAGGAATCTGTCACCAATCTGTTCCTGGAGAGGCTCCAGCACTTTTCTGGGTCGTTTCTCCCGACGCCAGTTGCCACCGGGCCCGTTTCGAGCCTCCTGACGGCATTTTCTGGGGAGACACCACTCAGCTTTGGTTTTCCAGCAGCAAACGGTGCCACCAGCACATCCAGCCCTCACTTGTGCCTTTGACCACAAACTGCTGGGAAGGCAACACGCTCTCTGCCAACGCCAGCCCCTGCCACAGCCCCGCTACCACTTGTGTTAACGGGTTATTTCACAGGGAAACACAAATCCCCCTTGTTTCTCAGCAGCACCACGACCCAATGACTGCAAACGAGGTGGAACTTGATCCACGTGTGGAAATGAAGCAGGATCCCAGCTCGCCACTCTCCTGTGCCAGCCTCTGGACATTCACACCACCCTTTAGGGTGATTTCTTAGGAAATAAGGCATAACCACCGCCAGAGATCCTCTTTCTCACTGGGGTAAAACACCACGACACCCCTGGTCTTAAACGCTTCCCAACCTACCGCTGCCTGGGCAGGGTGAGGAGGGACAACCTGCACCCAGGTTGCTTTGGGACCAACAAGGAGCTTGAACTGGGTTAGGAAATAAGGCATAACCACCGCCAGAGATCCTCTTTCTCACTGGGGTAAAACACCACGACACCCCTGGTCTTAAACGCTTCCCAACCTACCGCTGCCTGGGCAGGGTGAGGAGGGACAACCTGCACCCAGGTTGCTTTGGGACCAACAAGGAGCTTGAACTGGGGCTGGGGAGAATCTCCTGCTGCCCCCCAAGGTGAGGTGAGGCCTAAGGGCCCCCCAGGTGAGGCGAGGCCTGAGGGCCCCCCAGGTGAGGTGAGGCCTGTACCCAGAGCAGGCCTTGCACCCCTGCCCACCCCACACAGGCCCACGGGCGGGCAGAGGGCGTTTCCCCAGCTCCCTACAGCCCCCCTCCCAGCCTGCCTGGCCGTGCCCCTGACCCCCAGTTCAGGCCCAGTACAACCCAGTGCTCCCCATTCAACCCCTCCCCGTTCACCCACGTGCTGCCCACAGGCCTCCCCCGCCGCCACCACGCATGCGCCCAGCCCGCCCGGCCCCGCCCAGAGCGCAGGCGCGGGATGTACCACCCCGCGGGGGCGAGGGGGGGGAGCGAGGAGGGAACCGCGCCTCTTTCCCCGCATCCCGAGCGGATCCCGGTTACTTTTCTGCCCTCATCACCCGAGATCCCGCTGGGGCTTTTCATTCACCGCCGTTCGGGCCGCTCCGAGGCCGCGGGGATGGAGCGGAGCGGGCGCGGGGTGGTACGTGCCGGTCCCCGCGGCGCTGGCTGTGGGCGGGGCCGGGCCCGCCGCCTCTTCCTCTCCGCCCGGCCGCCGCCATGAGGTGAGGGGCTGCGTTCGTCCGTTCCTCCCGGGGTCTGCCCCGGCTGCCGACAGCGAGCGGGGCCGGTCGGCGGGTTGGCCTCAATAGCGGGGGCTTCCCGGGCGCGCTATGGGGGGGCTCCGGGTGTCGTGAGGCGGCTGCGGCCTCCTCAGGCCTCGGGGGAAAATGGCGGTCGGGCCGCGCTGGGGAGGGGGCGAAATGGCGGCCGGGGCCCAGGCCTCGGGGTGCAGAGGGAGGGAGGGAGGGAGGGGAGCGCTGAGCGGGGCTGGCTTCCCTCCTTTCGGGCCCTGCGGCCTTGAACAGCTCTGGCCGACCCCGTCGTGCTGTTCCGGCGGCGCGGCCTGCTCCCGGTGGGCTCTCCCGGGCTGTCCCGGGCCGTCCCGGCCGCGGGATGGAGCGTGGCCCTGAGGTGTGTGCCTGGTTCTCCCCAGTATGCTCCGGCTCCAGAAGAGGCTGGCCTCCAGCGTGCTGCGCTGCGGCAAAAAGAAGGTCTGGCTGGATCCCAATGAAACTAACGAGATCGCCAACGCTAACTCGCGTAAGTAGTCGCCTGGCAGGGCCGGGGCCGTGCTGCGCGTCGGTCGGGTTGTCCTGGGGAAGAGGGATGTGTCAGGGATATGGGAAGAGGCTTTTGGACCAGCTCAGTAGCCATGAGCTTGGCTTAAGTAAAATTCCAACATTTGAGCAATTGTTTTGTGCTTCAAAGTGGAAATGAGTCCATGGGCAGGATTTGCAAAGCTCCACAGATGAGAACGTGGTGCCTGGTGAGTTCTTAGTAGCGGATTTAGTACGTGGTGTCCTCTGAGATAACTATTGGGGGTCAGTGGGAGGGTAAAAGACCAGCTCCAGCAGCACGAGGGGCTTTGGGGGAAGGTCTGGCTTGACCTTTACGGTGCAGCCTTTTCACACAAGCCAGATGGGAGCCCGTAGTTGCCTAATGTGTCCTCTTCGTCGCATGGGAGATGTTGACCATGGAGTTTCTTCCCACAGGTCAGCAGATCAGGAAGCTGATTAAGGATGGTCTGATCATCCGCAAACCCGTGACCGTTCACTCTCGTGCCCGATGCAGGAAGAACACCTTGGCCCGTCGGAAGGGCCGGCACATGGGCATAGGTAAGTGCTGGCTCCCAGAAACATCAGTTTTCCATGGATTGGGGTCCACCTCCGAGCTCATATTTAACAACAATCCCCAAAGGCTGGTGGCAGGGCCTAAAAATGCACAGTTTGTCTGTCTGTAGTTTTCTTCTTGAAGTAAAGAGGATTAAAGTAAAGGATTAAACTCTTCAGCAAAAGCGTGCGGTTCGACTTGTAGAAGTTTGGGCTCATTCCCCTCCTGTTTTCCCTCTCCAGGTAAGAGAAAGGGTACGGCCAACGCTCGGATGCCCGAGAAGGTCACCTGGATGAGGAGGATGCGGATCCTGAGGCGCCTGCTCCGCAGATACAGGGAGTCCAAGAAGATCGACCGCCACATGTAAGCCACCTCCAGCTTTGGGTCACATCTCCACACCCTCAGATCCCCCCGTATTGCGGCTCCTTGCTGTGCTGCTGGGTGAAAATAAGTCCTTTTTGGGAAGTGTGGCTCTGGGGGAATCCCAGCATTTGTCCCAAAGAGCCCTCTGTCTACACAGAGGAGGGGAGAGCCAGTGGAGGAGCTTCAGGGTGACCCTGCTCCTCTCAGTGCACGTGTGTGTGTGTGTGTCCCTGCTCTGTGCTGGAAGCTGTGGGGTGGTTTTATCCCCCAAAGGGCTTCACTTATGGTCCGTTCTGCTCCATCAGGTACCACAGCCTCTACCTGAAGGTGAAGGGTAATGTCTTCAAGAACAAGCGGATCCTGATGGAGCACATCCACAAGCTCAAGGCAGACAAAGCTCGCAAGAAGCTCTTGGCGTGAGTCCTGTTGCCCTCTTGGGTTGTGGGGTGGATTTTTCTTCTTGGTCACTCCCCGGGTAGATAATCCCAGAGCTGCTGGTGGCTCTGGCTGGTGAGGAATCAACCCCAGACTGGGCAGGGCTGGCTGGAAGCAGAGAAGTGGGGGATTCTGGCAGAGCTTTGTGTGTTCCACCATGTCCGTAGCAGGTGGTGGTTGCCCATAAAGCTGCAAACTGGTAAATTTACTGGTCTTGGATCCATAAATGATTGACGGGGGGAAGTGAGGAGGCAGAAGAGCTGATGGGTTTCAGAATCCTCCTGTGTGTTTTGCTAAAAATCAGGTGTTTTAACCTGGGTCTGCTGTAAAGCTGTGTGTCCCCAGAGTCCATTGGGGAGGGCAGCAGAGCCCAGTGTCCTCACTGGGGCTGAGTGGGACCAGTTTGGCACCACTGGAGCCACAGTCGGAGCTGTGGGTGGCCCATGAGTGCTGGAGCACGGCTCATTTCAGTGGCTGGTTGGGGGGACAGGGGTCCTGTGGGGCCAGAGGAGACCAGGGGGTGTTAAAAGCCTTCTCCAGGGGGGTTGGGGTCATCCCTGTGCATCCAAGAGCTCTTTTAACTTCCTCAACTTCATCCTCTCTCAGTGACCAGGCCGAAGCTCGCAGGTCCAAGACCAAGGAGGCCCGTAAGCGCCGCGAGGAACGTTTGCAGGCCAAGAAGGAGGAGATCATCAAGACCCTCTCCAAGGAGGAGGAGACCAAGAAGTAAAGGCTGTCCCTCTCCTCTCCCTCCTGTTTGCCATCCTCAAGAGGTCAATAAAACGCCACATTCAGGACTCCTCCTTCCACCCCCTCTCGGGCTCTGGCTCTCTCTGGGGGTTTGTGGAGCTGGGAGGGAAGGGGCTGGGGAAGAAGATGGTGGTTGGTGGGATCTGAAGGGGTTGGTTGGGTGGTTCCTGGGGTGAGGGTGAGTGGGGCTGGTGGCCAGGGAAGGACACGGGTCCACAGTGAGTTGGTTGCCAACGGCAAAGCCCAGTTCTTGCCCCCTGCAGCTCCTCTGCCCACAGCCTGGTGACCACCCCTAAAGGTCCTCCTGCTCCTGCTGAGCTCTGGAGGGACAAAAAGGGGCTGGGGGTCACCACAGCCACCCCCAGCACCCCGGGGCCCTTCCTGGTGGCTCCCAGGGACAGTTGGGGACAAGCAGCAGCTCCTTGGGGCATCTTCAGCCAGAGCTTGTGGCTCCTCTGCGGGAGGGGGGTGGTCCCAGGTGGAGTGTGGAGTTGTGGGGCTCAGCCTGAACCCCCCAGGAAAGGGCCTGGGGCACCCCTGTCACCCCAAGTCACAGCAGGAGGTGTGGGCACAGAGACCCCCCCCAGCCCCCCCCTTTAACATCCGAGAGCTGTGACCCCCTCATGGCTGTGTCTGGGGGGGCTTGGGAAGGAGAAGGAGACACCCGTGGTGGCCTCTGTGGGGGGGCAGGTGGAGATACTGGGGGGC